TCCAGGTCAGCTCAGTACATAATAGCATGTCATTCTTTGCTGAATGGATTTCATGACACATTTTGTAGTTTGAATCCAACTTTACATATCAGTCTTTAGGTATGTCAAACTGAGGCGTCTGCATGGTTACATTTGCTTAAAAAAATAATCAGCTTTCGATTAGTTTGCTTGTAGCAAATTTCCCTTTTTCCATTTTCCTTTGGATGGTTAAAGGAAGCTTATGCTAATTACTGTGAGTGAAGCCTGTATGTTGACTTTGTCTTTCCCTCTACAGGCCTTTCAAGTGGAAATTGTTTTGTTTTTTGTTTTTTTCAGTAAACTGAAATATAAGCTGAAATTAAGCATATTTCCTTCTTATTTAAAAATCTTGATGCTTTTTGTCCACAGGTGTGGAAAAACAGGTAAGCACACTGTAACAAAAGTATTAATTGCCTTAGATTGGTCAATAAAGAAACGTATTGGTCCTTTCTTAAACAATAATTTTACATCCCATTTTATTTTACAGATCACAGAGCTTCAACCCAACTGGTAGGTTAAAGGAACTTTTTGCAATTATTCTAGGTCTTTGTCAGCCCTTGGCATTTCTCAAGCGTCCTTCTTTCTAATCTTGCTTCTTATAGCTAATTGTATCACCACGGCACTGTTCTCTGCTTTTTCACCTTTGTTATGTCTGGTTGGTAAGCTATCACCAGTTTGCCCATCTGTATCTGGAAGTCTCAAAGACAACACAGAGGCACTAATCATGGCAGTACAGGAACAAGCCCTGAGCAAAAGATCCATAGAAGCTGGAGTCTACCACACCAAGCACCCCAGGTGCAGGCTGTGTAAAGATGCCACTGAGACAATCCGCCACATAACAGTAGGGTGCAAGATGCTAGCAGGCAGGGCATACATAGGACGCCATAACCAAGTCACCAGCATAGCATACAGGAACATCTGTGCAGAGTATGGCCTGGAAGTCCTGAGGTCTAAACAGGACATGGGTGGTTGTGAATGACCAAACTAAGAGCCTGTGGGACTTCCAGATACAGACAGACAAACTGGTGATGGCTATGAACCGGACACAGTAGTGGTAGACAAGCAGAGGACCCAAGCTTGAAGAAGGGGTAAGCAGGGGGAAGAGGGGAATTTTTAATTCATGTAATTTACATCCATATCTATATGTTTATATAGTTCTCTCTCTCTCTGTCATGTTCTCCCCTTGCCTGTGTTGGTTTTCTTCGGGTACTCTGGCTTCCTCCCACAGTCCAAAGAAATGCAATTAGTGGTGTTAGGTTGATTGGTGATTCCAAATTGCCTGTACGAGTAAATGCAAATGGTTGTCTGTCTCTCTGCGTTAGCCCTGCGTCAGGCTGGTGATCTGTCCAGGGTGTAGCTTGCCTCTATGGTAGCTGGGATAGGTTTCAGATATAGGTATATAAGATGTATCACATACCTCTAAAGATAGGTAAAGGGACCATTCCACTTTCCATTTATTCCGGTTTGACTTTATTAAATGAAATCTCTATACATATTTTACACTTGTGTGCCATACATTAGTCTATGCTGTTTACAAAAGAACAAAAAAAACAAACAAACTATTAATTGTGTTCGACTTTGTGGTTTTGTTCATGTGATGTGCACAGCTTGTGTGTTTATTTTTGCCCGTCTTTGTACATCCACAGCACTGAACCAAACACACACCTCTGTGGGTCATCATGTTACAATCCAAAGGAAAGTCAGTGCTGTGAGAGAAATCAAAAGCCTCACTGGTTCTGTGCCTCAGGTAACACCGTCTCCATGTTTGTTTTGACATTTATCCACTTTATCTGTTAGTTACTAGTTGATGTGACTTGGCACCACAGGGTGATCTTAACTATACAGCTTCAATAGCAGTTAGAGCTTTTTGGTATCTTATGTGTATCAGTGTGAAAGCAAAGAACTTCAACAAAATACTAAACTAATAATGTAAATCGAAAATGATATTAAAATAAGAAATGGTGCAATTTTCGCTCATTTTGAAGTCATAAACCTTAAACAGTTCTAAAAGACGGGGACAGGAACACATATACCTTTGTACTCCTTTTTTTGATTTTGCTGTGCCCTACGTGTTTTCCGTCTGTGATGGTTCTCGAGCCAGCTTTGTACTCTTTTACTACCATGTAATCTATTATAAAGAATAACTGGGCATTGTCTAACATGAAAAAAAGACATCTGCATGCCAGCAAGTTCTTCCAAATCCTCGATTTATTTTTCAGTAATAAGAAGGCTTTCATGATGCAAGTTACTCAAGCCCCACACCCTAACAAATGGTTTGATGCTTTAACTCAAAAAAGAGCAGTATTTCATGCCACAAACAGAGTTCAACTAAATGTAAAACATTTGTTGTTATAGGCAGACAATTAGCCAATAACAAACCCTGCTGAAAATAAGGCAAAAAAAATGTGGGCGGAAGCGACAGTAAAGGCTGTGAATAAAGCCACAGAGACAAATGACTGAACGATTTGACTAAAAAAACAGAATGTTGGGAAGAGTTGTTTCTGTCTGACTTACTTCTCAGGTTGCCCTCAGATAAATCCAGACAGTGAACTAAATTTCTTTATGCTTACCGACAATGAAGCATGTGTCATCATACTTTGAGACGGTTAAGAAGTCTGTCTTGCGAGGATCAACGTCATGGGAAAAGCAGGTGACACATGAAAGCCTGGCTACTCAAAGCTTTTTAATGAATAAAGAGCAAGTGAAATTAAAAGAGAGGAGGGGAGAGAGACAAAAAGCAAGTGTGTTTTTTTTTTTCTTAACTATGGAAATGACTCATTAGATGAGCAACATCTTTTGGATAAAACTAGCTCCCATAAACTGCAAACTCCAAAAAGGATGTTAGCCCAACAACACATGGCAAACTGCAGCTCGTTTGTTAAAAACATTTCTGGAGATCTGAATGGGTTCATTAACTTTGTTGTACCGCTATAACTTGTTATCTTTATGACATGTTGTTGAACCAGAAAGTCACCCAACTCTTTTTTCACTTATTCCCTCCACTTTACCACAGTTTTACCTCACTCTGATTTTTGCACATTTGGCTTCACATGCCATCAGGGTTCTTTTTTCTGACAGGTAATTCCTCTGTGCGTCGCTTACCCTTTGCAGATGGAGACAATAAACTTATGTCTATTAAAGAGGGTATTGTATTTGAAACTCGAGTAGTAAGTGTGCGAAACAGGGAACGTGTATTTTCTTCTCTTTCTAAGTCATCTTTTCCACATATCATTTATCTCAACATGTTCAGTCTGATAAGTTTTTATTGCAACTCCTCTCTCTTCTTTCCACCTTTCTGACCCTCACATCTCTCTATTTAGGTCTAAGCAAGACGACACCAACTGTGTATAACCCACGCACACAAGTCTGTTGTGATGGATGTGTATCTGCGTGGAAGCCTTGGATAGATCAAGTAATGGACTAATTGCTTTACTTGTTATTCTGGCTGCTTAGCTGGAAGAGTTTTAATTTTAACTTTTTAATGCAAAGGTTAACAATTTTTATCTTTTTAAATTAGCTAATGTATGCACATTCATTTCAGTATTAAATTCTACTAAAAGAACACTTGAATCTGGAGCACTGACAGGAATGGTACAGAATGATCCCAGAAGAAAAAAAGAGCTTTTTCTATGCAAGTTTGATCAGAGAGCTCTGAGTTCCACCCTGCTCCTTTTATACAGTAACCAAGGGTATTTACGATCTGATGTCTAAAGGTCATCTAAAGGCATAGGTAGCAGTTACAACTAATGCAAAAGTGTGTGTGTGTGTGTGTGTGTGTGTGTGTAGGATATCAACTATGTGCATTTGAATGTGTAGAGGAAAAGCCTGGTTTTGTCTGCATTGCTTCACACTTAAATTCATTGCCTCTGATTCTTCAAGTGCTGTTACAGAGACAGTCTGGTTGTGTCTGCTTGCACAGTTTACTGTATTATGTCTGATTCTTCAAGTGCTGTGGAGAGACGCCGTATGGCTCGGCACAACGTGGAGTTCTGTGTTGTAATAAGAGCTTGTACGAGGGCAGAGATGATGGAGAGGAATGTTCAGAGATGGGTATTCCTTACAACCCGGCTAAAGGGACCATGTGTTGTTCTCAGTTTCATGGCAGCCCAGGACAACACTGCTGTGGGACAGAAATTTACCAGCCTCATCTGAGATCTGCTGCAATGGACACAGGTGTGTGTGTGTGTGTGTGTGTGTGTGTGTGTGTGTGTGTATGTGTGTGTGTGTGTGTGTGTGTCTTTTTAATGGTTTTAAACACTTGAATTTTTTTTAAATCACATTCATATTCACTGGTATTATATTTGCTTTTTTTGTTTACTCTTAATATCGCACCCTCTACAGACAAAATTACAACATCATTATGATAAGAGGAGCACCTCAATGTCACCTGTATATATTTCATTTTGTTTAATGTACTGGGATATTTGTAATTAGAGCTATTTGTTATATTTTTGTAACTCTGTCACTTTTTTGTTTTATTTGGTTTAGTTAGTTACTGTTCTTACTGTCATGGAACAATGTGCCCACATAATCTCCTCTGAGATTAATAAAGTAAATCATTTACAGTGGGGCAAAAAAGTATTTAGTCAGCCACCGATTGTGCAAGTTCCCCCACTAAAATGATGACAGAGGTCAGTAATTTGCACCAGAGGTACACTTCAACTGTGAGAGACAGAATGTGAAAAAAAAATCCATGAATCCACATGGTAGGATTTGTAAAGAATTTATTGGTAAATCAGGGTGGAAAATAAGTATTTGGTCAATAACAAAAATACAACTCAATACTTTGTAACATAACCTTTGTTGGCAATAACAGAGGTCAAACGTTTACTATAGGTCTTTACCAGGTTTGCACACACAGTAGCTGGTATTTTGGCCCATTCCTCCATGCAGATCTTCTCGAGAGCAGTGATGTTTTGGGGCTGTCGCCGAGCAACACGGACTTTCAACTCCCGCCACAGATTTTCTATGGGGTTGAGGTCTGGAGACTGGCTAGGCCCACTTCCTAGGGAACTTTGCAAATGGTGTCTTGACGGAGCCATCCTTCTGTTGCCCGGGCGGTGTGTTTTGGATCATTGTCATGTTGGAAGACCCAGCCTCGTTTCATCTTCAAAGTTCTCACTGATGGAAGGAGGTTTTGGCTCAAAATCTCACGATACATGGCCCCATTCATTCTGTCCTTAACACGGATCAGTCGTCCTGTCCCCTTGGCAGAAAAACAGCCCCATAGCATGATGTTTCCACCCCCATGCTTCACAGTAGGTATGGTGTTCTTGGGATGCAACTCAGTATTCTTCTTCCTCCAAACACGACGAGTTGAGTTTATACCAAAAAGTTCTACTTTGGTTTCATCTGACCACATGACATTCTCCCAATCCTCTGCTGTATCATCCATGTGCTCTCTGGCAAACTTCAGACGGGCCTGGACATGCACTGGCTTCAGCAGCGGAACACGTCTGGCACTGCGGGATTTGATTCCCTGCCGTTGTAGTGTGTTACTGATGGTGACCTTTGTTACTTTGGTCCCAGCTCTCTGCAGGTCATTCACCAGGTCCCCCCGTGTGGTTCTGGGATCTTTGCTCACCGTTCTCATGATCATTTTGACCCCACGGGATGAGATCTTGCGTGGAGCCCCAGATCGAGGGAGATTATCAGTGGTCTTGTATGTCTTCCATTTTCTGATGATTGCTCCCACAGTTGATTTTTTCACACCAAGCTGCTTGCCTATTGTAGATTCACTCTTCCCAGTCTGGTGCAGGTCTACAATACTTTTCCTGGTGTCCTTCGAAAGCTCTTTGGTCTTGGCCATGGCGGGTTTGGAGTCTGACTGTTTGAGGCTGTGGACAGGTGTCTTTTATACAGATGATGAGTTCAAACAGGTGCCATTCATACAGGTAACGAGTGGGGGACAGAAAAGCTTCTTACAGAAGACGTTACAGGTCTGTGAGAGCCAGAGATTTTCCTTGTTTGAGGTGACCAAATACTTATTTTCCACCCTGATTTACGAATAAATTCTTTACAAATCCTACCATGTGGATTCATGGATTTTTTTTTCACATTCTGTCTCTCACAGTTGAAGTGTACCTCTGGTGCAAATTACTGACCTCTGTCATCATTTTAAGTGGGGGAACTTGCACAATCGGTGGCTGACTAAATACTTTTTTGCCCCACTGTACGAGACAGGCAGAAATTCCAGACATACCGAAGATCTTTCACACCTATTTTTCCTTTCAATGCATTGAGTTACTAAAAGAATTTCTCTGCCTCATCACTCTGAGTCTCTGTCTGGGCTTGGTGCTTTTTCAGTTTAAGTTTATTGTTAAAACCTGTGCATGTGCATGCTTGTCATGACTCCAGTGTTCAATGAATGTACATTCATATTCAGTAACTGCATTTATTGCAACATTCAATGTTTTGTATTGCCATATGGGCTGGAACCAGTGTTAATGTATGAATTATCACACAACTCAGTAGCTATTCATATCCAGGTCTCAGTTGCTGTTTTATGGTAGGCTTTGTAACAGCTGAACTTGCTGAATCTTGGTGGCTCGTAAGATGCAGTAACTATCAGAGCTTGTTTCCACGAACTTTGCTGCCAGTTGTGGCGATACCTAAATACCAAAAGAAGATCATATTTATGTTTATGTCTTTCTTTATTTGTTATGTGTCATATGTCAATGAGAGGAATGTTATAACAAAAAAAATAAAATAAGTTAATGAACATTGCTCATTGCTTTTTAAAACGTAATGCATTGTTTTTCCTTTTTTAATCCCTGGAGAAAATTATCTTATCAATATTTTGCATTACTTTCTAACGTGGCATTAGACCCATGATCATATAATCACTAGTTAAGAATACAAACCTTAAACTACAGAGCCATATAGACGCAGATCCAGCAACTCTGACGATGTTCTGTTTTTTCAGTGCACAAATGAAGACATTATCTTTTATGCTAACATCTAGCAATACACATATAGACTAATGTAATTCGCCCTCTTATGAACATATTTATCACTCTTCTTATTTGATATTAATTTGTCCCTCTGTTTCCCAACCAGGCATCTCAAATCAGAAAACATTCACTGCTGTGGGGTCAAAGCCTACAACATTAAAGACCCACAGATGAAGTGCTGTGCAGGAACACTGTACAATCTGACATTGTTAGATGAGCATGGAGGGGATGCACAATGCTGTGGATCCATTCTGCAAAGGCCACAGGTAAAGTCAGTGACACAAATGACAGCAACAAATCATTTTGTATTTTCTACTATTGTTATGCGCAATTCTGACAGGCTTCATCTTGCTCTTGTGGTCATTTTAAAAATGTTGTACAAAACATGATTTAGCTACTATAAAAGCTACTTTTGGCTACTCTCTTATTCACAAGGGATTATCACAGTGACTAGTAAACCTTGGCAGATTTTTATGCCTTTTTGTGTGAAAAAATATGAAGGATAATGTTTAAAGAAAGGAAACTTATAACTGATAGAAAATGATAGGGCAGGAGAAAAACCCTGAGGAAACCAGCAGGTCCATACCACTATGCAATTGAAGTATTATTTACTGAACAGAAGCTTTGTTTGAAGCTTTGTTTAACAGCATGTTAGAATGCATTTGGTCTCTGACTGTCTGTATTGTGCAGAGCTTAAAGACATAGGGAAGGCAAGGTAAGTTTATTTATATAGCACAATTCAACAACAAGGTGATGCTTTACAGAGACATTAAAAAACAAAAACAAATAAAAAGCATGATTTAAAATTGATAGAAAAAACAGTAGATAAAATCAGAACAGTAGATAAAATCAGTAGTTAAAATGTAAGTTTTGAAATTTAAGCTTAAAAGTGTGGATTTGGTGCTTT